CAGTGGTAACCAGAATAAAGTGTAATTGGGAAATGTTTAACAAAATAAATTATAGTACAACATAATGTTAACTGTGGTTTTTTAAGTCAATTTGTAGCCTGCAAGGATCCATCTTCACTTGTTTGATACAAACCTACACTAGTTAAAAAAATGATTTTCTGAATGTTGAAAATTGTCTTTATGTGCAACTAGGGAAAAATTAAAATATTATTTTTAAAAAATGATTTTCCTTAAGCACAGGTCTAACCATGTTACTCTGCTACTCAGTAAATTCCATCTACTTCCTATTACCTCTAGAGTCAATTATAAACTCCATTTAAAAGTCTTCCACAATCCTCCCATCCTATTTTTCCAAACTCCTTGGACATTACTCTTCCTCTTGCTCTCTGTGATCCAGCAAAGCTGGCCTCTCTCTTCCTCCCCCATCTCTATGTCTTTTGTACTGGCTGTCTCCCATGTATAAAATGTTCCTACCACCCCTCCATCTGAAGAATCCCTCTCTTCCTTCAAGGCATAGCTTAAGCAACATCTCCTTCGTGAAGCCTTTCCTGACCCTCTCAACTGCCCTCTCTCTCAAATCAACTTGTATTTAACTACTTTGTATTTATTCTCTTTATAGTTATTTCTTTATATTTATATAATTTATTTATATAAATGTTATAAGATGTTATTTCTTTCTTTATATTTGTGTAATTAAGAAATATCCTTCACTTCCTTGCGGGAATTTTAGTTCCTTGACAGTAGGAATTGTTTTATTTATTGTATCTGTATCCCTACCACCCACTAGACTGCTTGGCACATTTTGTGGTTATTACATCATTTTAGTTGTGTCTGACTCTTCATGACCCCATTTGGGGTTTTCTTGGCAAAGATACTGGAGTGGTTTGCCTTTTCCTTCTCCAACTCATTTTACAGATGAGGAATTGAGGCAAACAGGGTTAAGTGACTTGTCTAGGCTAGTAAGAGTCTGAGGCTGGATTAGAACTCAAGAAGATGAGTATTTGTGACTTTAGGCTAGGTGTTCTATCCACTATGCCACCTAGCTGCCCCACAGTGGGCCCTTAATTAATGCTTGTTGGTTGGTTGAGTGGTTGCCCAAGGTCACACATCTAGTATTTGGCAGAACTAGGATTTCAACTCAGGTCCTATGATTCTAAGTTCAGTGCTCTGTCCACATTGTTATGCCATCTGTTAAGAGGTGTTACTTATTAGACAAAAGCTCTGAAAGAAAAAGTGTATGGGGTTGCAAGCACAGTAAATATAAACAAGTAGGTATGGTGAGGAGTAGGGACACGTCTTCTGTGACTAAAGCCAAAAATGGAGAGAGTAGCTGATGGTGTTGAGAACTTTTGAGGGATGGACGAAAGGAAAGTCAAGCATCCTCTGGTGGATGACCTCAATCTTCTCAGTGAAATGGGAGGCAAAGTCATTGGCTATAAGTGGATGAAAGAAGCAAGGACTTTCCGGGAGAAGAAAAGATTTTGAACATGCTTTGCAGAATAAGACAAGAAGTAAGCAAGATTAAAACATGATTGCAGGGCATCAGTAAGGGCTTAGCTGAGATTATGTATATTTATAGTGAGCAAAATTTATAATAATATATAAATATATAATAACATATAAATTTATAGCGAGTAAAATCAAAAATTTCACAATTTTCTCTATCTGTATTCAGCAGCCCAAATCCAAGGATGGAGATTATTTTACAAAGTAATTTACATTTTACATTATCATATTATTATTTTATCTATTATATTTATACAATTATATTATTATTTTCCATTATTATTAATTACAACCTGTATTTATAATAAAAATTAAAAACACGCAAACAACTCAAATAATTTTGTAGGTCCATGAGAATTTGGGTTAACTTTTTTTTTTTTTGGCAAGGCATTTGGGGTTAAGTAACTTGCCTGGAGTCACACAGCTAGTAAGTGTTCTGTGTTTGAAGCTAGATTTGAACTCAGGTCATCCTGACTCCACGGCCGGTGCACTATCCACTGCCTAGGTGCCTCCTGGGTTAACTATTTTTTTTTGTGTTATCATCTTGCATCAGTCCACAGGAATATAGATTATTTATCTTGGAATATGTCAGACACTGGGACCTCATTGTCAAATGTTTTCATTTGCTGTTTAAAATTTCAAAATAGTTCCTAAAAAAGATATCCATTCTTGATACATAAAGTTCAAAGCCTTTGGGGTCATTTTTGAGTGAGTAAGATCAGCTGTTAAATGCAATGCCAGATCTGACAAGGCCAGAATTATATGCTATAAAGTTATGGAAGTGGTTTCAACAATTAATTCAGGTATTTTAAAAGTATAATGTAATGTAGTTATATATGCTTTAATGTTTGCCAAACTATCTATCTGTCTGTCTATCTGTCTATACAATATACATATACCTACATGTACACATACATACATACATACATACACACATACCCACACATGTAGCCCTAGTATATAACAACATAAAACAATCTGCAAGTTATACACCACGTAGGCTAAAGGACAGTGGGAAATTATGACAAACAAGGTTCTCTATTAGGAGCAAGCAAAAACTTATTCTTTGAAATCTTGCATGTTTGTATATCACTTGCTGAGTGTCTAGAACAGGGATGGAGAACTTGTGGGCTTGAGGCCACACGTGGCCCTCTACGTACTCAAGTGCGGCCCTTTGACTGAATCCAAACTTCACAGAATTAAATCCTTTCATTAAGCCAGTTGGTTCACTTAGGGACTTCTTTGAGTCTATATGGTGCAGATAAGATGCAAATTTACATTGGAAGAGGGAGGTTTCTCAACTGGGAGTTCCCAATACCAGTGAAATCACAGATTCAATTCCTATCCTTAGCCCTTTGTTCAAGACACTGCAGTAGGTTAAGGAAACAGGCCCTGGCCTCAGGGAGCTTAAATTCTGCCATTACTGATGTTATTGGTGGTGGTGTGAAACCAACAGGCAGACAGATAAGTAAATAGAAGATAAATTGAGGAGGAACAGAGTACTCAGAAGTCAGTGAGGAGGGAGGGGCACTGGTGCTGAGTACTGAGCACACATCAAGATGGAATACATTTTCCACATATGGAAAAGCTTTACTGGGATTGGAGTTGAAGTGTGTTTGGGGAACAGCCAGCAGGCCAGTTTGGCCAGAACACAGAAGGGAAGTCCTGCTCAGTAAGGCTGGAAAGGTAGGTGGGAATCAAATTAGAAAGGGCTTCAAATTCCAGGCTGAGGGCTTTGTATGTTATCCTTGTGTCAGTGGAAGGGAAGCATGCCATTCTTTCTCAAAAAGAGTGTCAAGTGTTGATGCATGAACAGGGATAGAAATGAAAGAAAAAAATGCATTGTTTCAACTGGAGAAAGAGACAAGTTTATTCATTATGAGATGTTTAGAAGTTTCAGCTAGGTGGATCCATGGATAGAGTGCCATGCCTGGAGTCAGGAAGATCTGAATTCAAATCTGGCTTCAGACACTTACTAGCTGTGCAACCCTGGGCAAGTCACTTAACCTCTGTTTGCTATAATCCACTGGAAAAGCAAATGGCAAACCGCTCTGGTATCTTTGCCAAGAAACCCATGGATACTATGGTCCATGGGATCACGAAGAGTCCAACATGACTAAACGGATTAAACAACAAAAGAGAGTAGAATGATTTGGGACCTTCCTGAAAAAAAAGGGGGATGAAAATCAGCCTTACTCCTTTGCTCACTCTTAATACTGATCCTACAATTATCGTCATAGTTCAAACTCTGCAAAATGCTATTCCTTTATTTTATAAAAAAATAACAAAGGGCATCATATTACACAATCGAAAACACTTATTAATCATCTACTATGGGGGCAGCTAGGTGGCGCAGTGGATAGAGCTCTGGCCTTGGAGTCAGGAGGACCTGAGTTCAAATTCCATCTCAGACACTTGACACTTACTAGCTGTGTGACCCTGAGCAAGTCACTTAACCCCGATTGCCTGACCAAAAAAAAAAAAATCACTTACTATATGCCAAGTACTATGCTAGGCACTGGAGCAGAGGTGTGCTGGCAAATGGGGAAAAAATGAATATATGATAACTCTAAAGTTTAATCTGCATTATTAATTTTTTCTCCATCATTTTAAGCCTAGACAACCAGAAGACAATAGTTCAAGCCTTGATTTGTAGGACTTGCCCATTTCTGAGTTGTAAATGTTCACACTGAAAATTTAACAATTGGGTCTTGGAGTCATCATGAGCTGACACTAGCACACCTCTTCACTGGGGATGCTAAGAATGAAATCTCTGCACTGGGGCAACAAAGACATAGAACGGTTTCAGTCTTGATGATAAGTACATACATAGGCACATAGAGAATAAAAACAAATAAATGCAAAGTAGTATGGGAGGAAGGACAATGGTAGTTTGCAGCATGCTGATTAAACTTCTGCTCACAATGCAAATTCAACAAGCATTTATTTGGCACCAATTACATTCCAGGTTCTAAGTGAGGTACTGGAATAAATTTACAGGAAAAATATTGAGGGTTGAGTTGCTCACTATTTGTAATGCTGCTCGTTTTTAGATAATCTAACCGAGCATTCAGTATATTGACCGAGGATGATTTCCATATTTTAAGAGACGTGTAATTTCAATGATTTAGGACTCCCTCTATCGACTCACATCACAAGCCCTTGGCAACTTTGTTACTAGGTTAATGAATCTCCAAAGATAAGTATACTTCCAGGTCCGTAGTCAAACTCTTTTCAGATCAGCAAGACCTGTGTTTGTGCTTGGCTGGTCTAGCCTCTTGAGAGACCGCTGTCATCTCCATGCCACAGAAATGGATCTGGAGCTAGGATTTCTATCTATTTTTATTAAAATGATGAGCTGGGTTTCCTGCCTGAATATTCATACAAAATAAATCATATTATGAGGTGGTTTATTTCCCTAGTTACAAAATGACAAATTAATATAGGTATGAAAGATAAATGTCATGTAGTTATCCAGTCTTTCTTTTCCTTACCTGTTATAGCTTCCAGACTTGGGATCGCAATAGTGCTGTAATGATGAATTTGCTTACAAAACCACGTGAATGAATTTGCAGAGCTTTCCAGTCCCAGGTTGCCATCAACAAATAAAGAGCCCCATTCTTTAGAAAATGAATTTAAAGGCTTTTTTTGCTGCCCCTGAGAGAAGAGGAAAAAAAATACAGATAAATCAGATACATCAAATCAAGATCATGTAATGGGCTAAATATTTTTTCCCTCCACAGAAACAGTATCAACATTAAAAAAAAAAATGTAGTAAAAGCAGTTACTAATACTTCACCAAACTATGCCTTTATTGGTAGAGTAATGTGGTTTAGACTGCCATTAGAATAGTACTCCAAGTGGGAAACACCAATCCTAAGGTATTTCCAGAGAAGTGGTAAACAAATGAAAAAACAAAACAAAGAGACAGAAACATGGCAAAGAATATCTGTAAGATGCATTTCTAAAACAAATTTATTTTCTGAGTAATACAAAGCTCCAGATGTGTGTTTAGATTTATAAACCTTTGTGCTTTCCACATTTATTCTGCATTCTCCATTTCTCTTATTTGACCACCAAATGAAATCCATTTCCTATTTTTGGGTGGGTGGGGGGAGTGCTTCTGCTGATATAAGATCACATGATTTTTTTGTACATCTTAATATTATAAATTTTTTGGTTATATACTTATTTGGACCCAACTTCATAAAGAAAGGTGAGATTTTCTTTTTAGATGCCATTTATCTGAGAACCCACTAAGAAGAAATGGCTTAATTTCACTAGAGACATTTCAAGGCATTATGGGATCTGATAGCTATGTGTGATAAAATTTAAAGGCGACATCTTCAACAATCTGGCGCTAACCTACCTTTCTAGGTTTATCATAAAGTATTTTTCTTTACACACAATATGGTTTGGGTGAACTACTGCTCTTGCTTTTTCTCACCTATCATTCTTTATCTCCCATCTTTATGCCCTTGCATAGGCTGTGTCCCCCATGCCTGGAAAACACTCCTTTCTTACTTCTGTCTCTTAGAATTCTTAGTATCCCTCAAAGCACACTAAAGCAACAGTCTTCTTTGTAAGGCCTTTCCTGATCCACTATAGTACTAATGCTGTCAATCCCCACCTCCCATTATCATATATTTGTTTTATATACACATTTATGGGCAGCTTAGGTGGCGCAGTGGATACAGCGCCAACCCTGAAGTTAGGAGGATCTGAGTTCAAATCTGGCCTCAGATACTTACTAGTTGTGTGACCCTGGGCAAGTCACTTAACCCTGTTTACCTCAGTTTTTCCATCTGTAAAATGAGCTGGAGAAGGAAATGGCACGCCATTCCAGTATCTTTGCCAAGAAAACCACAAATGGAGTCACAAAGAGTCAGGTTACTGACTAAACATAACAACAACAAATATACATTTACATGTTGTTTCTAATAATAAAATTTTAGCTCCTTGAGGGCAAGATTTGTTTCCTCTTGGTCTCTGTATCCCTGGTGCCTAACACAGCGTCTGGAACATAGGATGTATTTAGTAAGTGTTTGTGGATTGACTTATGTGCAATGTTGTTATGTGCATATGTTGTTGTTTAGTCAATTAGTCATGTCCGACTCTTCTCGGCCCCATTTGGGGTCTTCTTGGCAAAGATATTGGAGTGGTTTGCCATTTCCTTTTCCAGATCATTTTACAGATGAAGAAACTGAGGCAAACAGGGTTAAGTGACTTGTCTAGGGTCACAAAGCTAGCAAGTATCTGAGGCCACATTTGAACTCAGGTTTTCCCAACTTCAGGGCTAGCTCTTTATCCATTTGGTGCTGAGCAGCCCCTATACGCATATACCTACTTACATGCAAAGCTATCAAATACTCTGCTGTCCGGGTCTCTAATATCCTGCCTGTTTTAAAATTATTCAAGAATTTGTATATACAGGATGATGGCAATTTTTGGAGATAGATGAACCTCAACATAAACCTTTTTCTTCTATGCCTATGTAAAAATGGAGGTTTTTTGCAGGATAATTTTGCTTTTATCTTCATTTCAGGTCTTACATTAATTTTGACAAAAACAAATTTAAACCCTGCTGTGAGTTAGCTAGTAAGATTTTACAACACCTGAATAACTCCAATACTTTGGCGTACATCTCAAAGAGAAGGCATTATGTCTCTTTTAGTAAACCTATAATCTCATGAGGAAGCTATGACAAACATGTAATCAAAGGAAATATAATAATTGCTCAAGTGTGCAAGAATATTTAGGCAAGGATTTCATTGGTGGATTGGAGAAAGGTGGGTCATACTTATTTTTTCCCTTGGTATTTAGGAATAGTCTAAAATGAATTACTTTTTCCATATACTACTGGAGCATTATAAGTCTGCTTGCATGAGGGAAAATTTTAAAAAAAAAAAGGCCTAATGAAATTCTCCTTTTTAATTTTAAAGTGTCAAGTACATGTTCTATGGAAACCTAATTATAGAGTTGTTGTACTGCTGTCACAAAATTGGCCTATGTTTTCAAATTCCATGAGGAACTTTTTCACACAACATGCACAAAACAGTAGAATTGCCCCCACCCCTACCCCCTTGTAATTCATTCTGACCTTTTTTGTCACCCCTTTTCCCTCAAAATGTGGTTGCACAGGGCAGTAATTATTTTCATAGATTCTTATAATTTATTCTTATTGTCAAATCCACTGATAAAGATCTAATATAAAATTCACCCCTCCTTCTCTGGAAAACTTAAGATGATGCATTTAATTCCAAGCTCAACAGGATAATGATTCCTCTTATGTAAAAAGGGAAATGTCCCTAACAGAAGAAACACAGTATCTTTAATATCACCCTTTTATGCTGTATTGGTAAACCACAGAAAGGAAAGGAACTTGTGTTTATACTGAGGCCAGGAAAAATGGGACAGCTGCAAAGAATCAAGTCTCCAAAACACTAAGAAGCAAAAGGTTATACAGGTATGTCTCCTTTTATACAAGGAGAGAGAGAGAGAGAGAGAGTGAGAGAGAGAGAGAGTGTGTGTGTGTGTGTGTGTGTGTGTGTGTGTAAGGGGATGTGTCCTTGCAAAACTGTGAGAAAATAATATTTTTGAAACCTGAGTTATTTCATTAATTTTTTTTCAATTTCTGAAATAGTCTCTGAGTTATTTTTAATAGCTAACTTTCAAGTTTTTCTCTCCTGCTCTTCCTAACAAATCACAAGCAAGCCTGAGTGACATTTTACCAGGAGGAAAACATCCTCACATAATGGAATAACTCCTTAATTTATTAATTATTTAAATGGAATATTTGTTTATAGGATTTCCTTGAATCAGGACCTACCTGTAAAGACTTCATTAAGTAACAATTTAGCCTACATTTTCTAACTCGGTCTTAATAAATTGTTAGAATTTCCTTTAAAACTTGAGGAAATTAGGGGAAAAAGAAGTTTATTCTGAACCACTTTATAAATCAGTGGTAATACAAGGATTGTCATTTGGAGGTCCTGAAATTTTTTTTTCACCCAACTTTTCATGTGATGAATACTCCTTCCTATTCCCTAATTACTCACTGGAAAAATTAAGGGGAAAAAAATGTTCATTCTCAAGGCTAACCACAAATATCCTATTGTTGAGGCAACTAGGTATCATAGTGGATAGACAACCTGGAGTCAGGGAAAGCTGAGTTTGTAATCTTCCCTCAAAGACTTTACTAATTGCGTGACTCTGGGCAAGTCATTTAAGCTCTCTCTGCCTCAGTCTCCTGATCTATAAGATGAGAGGGTTGGACTGTAGCATTTTTAAGTTCTTTTCAGTACTGTCTCTATGACACATGGAATTTGAATCTCAAAAGGTTTTGTTTATTGATGGCAAACAGGGCTTTATGTTCACCAAAGAGTTAAAATAAAGGAAAATATTGTTTCTTTGAAATTACAGGAAAAGTTGGTTTAGGCAATGAAATAAGATAATTTGTTTTTGTTGGTCAGTGTTCTCAGTCTCAGGCTGACAAACTCTTCTGCAAATTCACTCAGCAACCTATCACTGACTATTGTGGCAATAATGATATCCATTTCTCTCTCTCTCTCTGTTTTCTAATAGTGAGAACTTTAAATTTATATTTCTTTCCTTTTTGTCTTTCCAAAATGATCTGCTTATTTCTTTCAGTCAATTTTTCACCAATATTAGGAGTTCCAAAAGAAATTCAAGATATTTCTCAATTTGTTACCCATTTTATTATTTAGTCATAAATCTACTCAAATTTGAAAAGGGCCTGAAGAGTACCTCCTAAATGCAGCTGTAGAAGGTTCATAGCTACATGTGTAGCTCCGGGTACAAAGAATGTGCAAAAGCCACTGCTTGGGAATCAGGACATCTGGCTCTTAGTCCTGACTCTACCACTAACTACTACTAGTGCGACCACGTAACCTCTGCGTGTCTCACATTCCTAATCTGCACAATAAGACCTAGATGACTTCTAAGGTTCTTTCTCAAATTAATATTCTATGACTCTGTGATATTCTACAACTTAAACTATTCGGGGTTTTTGCATAATTTCCATAATGGCTGACTCGACAAATTATTGAATAGACTGTGTTCTATTCATTTTGAGACAAAACAGAAATGACTAGCTAACTGCTTGTGCCCCTGTCTCCTTCACAACACATCTCTTTTCCTAACTTTGCTTTTTCTGTTAAGGGTGCTGCCATCTGAACCACTCACGTTCATGACCTAGGAATCATCCTTGATTGTTCAATCTTCTTACTATCTACCTCCCCCCCCATCAATCTCTTTATGTCAAATTAGTTGTCAGATCTTGTCAATTTTATTTTCATACTATCTTTCTAATCTATCCCCTGCTCTCTACTCATACCACAATCACCCTTAGTCCAGGCTCATAGCCTTCCTAACTAAAAATTCCTTACCCTCAACTCTTCAATTCATCCCCTATATAGCTGCCAAATCGATTTTTTGTCCTAAGGTGCATCTCCGCCCATATCAATACTCTGCTCAAGAAGCTGTGATAGCTCTCCATTTTTTTCAACAATAAAACACAAACTTATCTGTTTGGCATTTAAAGCCATTTACAGTTTGGCTTCAACCTACCTTTCCAGACTTATTATGACTACCCCTCATGCATACTACATTCCAGTCAGAGTGATCTGCTTGCTGTACTGGATGTTACATATATAACATTTCTTTTGACCTCCATACTTGGAATATATTCCCTCCTCACTATTTCCTTATAAAATCCTTGGCTTCCTCCAAAGCACAGCTCAGATGCTACCTCTCCAGGAGGCCCTTCCTAATTATTCCAACCTTGCTACTCTTCTCCCCGCCCTCTTTCCAAATACTTATTATTCAATTTGTATATATTTTGTATTGACTGTATTTACTTTCCTTCTAAGGTTGCCTTCTGTCATAGGTCCATTTCTCAAATCGTTACCCATTTTATTACAGCAAGATTCCCTCTCCTCTGGCCGCATAGCTTATGCTACTTTTTTCTTGAAGAATGACAATGCTGTCCCAGGGAACTGAACAGACCAGAAGACTTAGGCTCAAGTTGGACCTACCTTGGCACAAATTTTTTTTGGGCAGCCTCTTATTGATGTGGCTTCCTGGTTAGGGTCTTTCATGCTTGGCAGATGTCCCAAGATCACATGAATCACCAGACCCTGCCCCTGATGATCACACACATTTCCATGGAGTAGAGGAGGAAGTCTACCCAAGCTAAATGCTGCAATATCCTTGTTGAATATCCTTTCTTTGCTATGGTTGGCCTCCTCTTATTAACTGCTGAATGACTCACGAGTCATTTTGTTCCAACAACTCATAAACTAACTAATGGGTTACAGGTCTGAGTTAGGCCTTCCCATCACACCTTTTATCTATTCTGTATGCATTCTTTACTAGGCAGTTAGATGGCACAGTAGATAGAGTGCTGGGCCTAGAAGCAGGAAGACTCATCTTTCTGAGTTCAAATATGGCTTCAAACACATACTGGCTGTGTGTCACATAGACAGTTTTGATACATTTCCCCAACAGAATGTACCCTTCAGCATAAAGATGGCATCTTGTCTTTTTGCCTCCTTGACTTAGTGTACTGTCTTACAGGTCCTACAAAAACATTTATTGAATTAGAATCTGATATTTGTTGTTGTTCGGCCATTTCAGTCATATCTGACTCTTTGTGACTCTATTTGGGATTTTCTTGGCAAAGATACTAGAGTGATTTGCCATTTCCTTCTCCAGCTCATTTTACAGATGAGGAAACTGAGGTAAACAAGGTTAAGTGACTTGCCCAGAATCACATGGTGAATGTCTAATATTCTACTCTATCACTCCAAGGACGTGTTTGATAGTTCTAGATAGAATATCCTGGGGCTAAGTTTGGCTAGATAATAGTCAGAATGGCAAAGTGACATATTGCTTTATTTTTAGAAATATTTGTATAAGAGTGTTGAGATGGGTAATAGGAGACCTGTGTTATAATACTGGCTCCAACATTTATTAGCAGGGCGAGACCATGAGTCAGTCTCAACCTCACTATCCACAGCTGTAAAATGGTAAGAATGCTTATGCTACCTTTCCTCCCAGGGTTGCTGTTAAGAATGTTTTGTAAAACAAAGTGTTACATAAATTCAAGTTATTATTATTATTATTATTCTTTGAATCTTGCTCTTTAAGGTTTCTATTTTTTGCTTATGTGCAAAAGTAACTATGGTAATTTAACTGTGAACATCCCTCCTCTCTCCCCTGTGCAGCAGAGTGGCTAACCACTTGACAAGCAGGAGAGGTCTGCACAACCTAATGGAAAGCTGGCTATGGAATAGGAAGACCAGGGTTCATATCCCAGCTCAGCTATTTACTATCTGCATAACTGTTGGAAAAGCATTTAGTGTCTCTGGGACTCAGTTTCCTCATCTATTAAATGGGTCCCTCTTATTCTAAATCTATAATTCTATAATCAGCTAAGTGAGGCAATGGATAAAATGTTGGGCCTAGAGTCAGGAAGACTCATCTTCCTGAATTCAAATTTGACCTCAGATGCTTACTAGCTGTGTGACCCTGGGCAAGTCACTTAACCCCGTTTGCCTCAGTTACTTCATCTGAAAATGAGCTGGAGAAGGAAATGGCAAGGAACTCCAGTATCTTTGCTAAGAAAACCCCAAATAGGGTCACAAAGAGTTGGGCATAACTGAAAAACGACTGAACAACAACAACAAAAAAATCCATTAAGCTCCATTCAAAATGTTCCCTGTTCTTACCCAAAATTCTTAGCTCCCATTCAAACCACTGCAAATGAAAGTGACATAGAAATTCTCTGCTGAACGTGTGCCCACCCAAGAGTTTCTCCAGAAAGGAAATTCCTGTCAATTTTTCTGAATTCAATTCACGTCTAAGCAAGTCATAATTGTATTTCTATGGACTAATAAAGAAACTACACATACTGCCTGCACATGCAGAAAATGTAAAATTCCTGATTCCTTTCAACCCATGGCCTATAATGATAACTTGAGAAGATTTGGTTATTTTTTTTTTTAAATTCCACTTACTAAGAAGTTATTGCTTTACTTGTGGTGAGTAAAAGAACTGGAAGTATAGGATGAAATACTTGTGTGATCACACACTTTCCACTCACAAAACAGTTTGCATTTACCCTGTTTGGTCTGCTGACTGACATATTTGGTTGGAAAGAAATAATCTATATTTTTCTAAGCAATAACCAAAGACTACTCACTCTACCTAGCCTCCCCGCAACATACACAATACTTTGTTTGTCCATTTTATGGGAATAATGTTTTAATATTTTCCTCCTACCAGAGTGGTTAAGAATGTTTGCACCTACCTCCCCGTCTCACCTCCCTCTCCCTACCCCATCTCTTGAAGCCACAGGAAAGATTATGAACTTTAATGACTTGCTGTATTTACTTCCTGGCTTTGAGGTTTTCTCTTGGCCATGATGTCAGAAGTCTACTATACAGAGGAATAGAACTGATACTGAGATTAAAGTGGGAAAAATACCACGGTAGAATCTGATTTTTTCTGGGCTGTGATTCTAAGTTTCTATTTGTAAAAACACAACTGCAACAATAATAAACAAAAGAGTTACTTCAGTCATCCTGAATCTCAGGGCCAACTGTTCATTTTTGACTTATATGACAAGGGATTTCCCAAAAGGTTAACAAACAGGACCACAAAGGCAAATATGTATCCAAGCTGCCATGAAACCTCTGCCAATAATGGGCCCATCAATAACAAATAGTCCCTTAATCACAAACAAACACAAATAAAGCAAGTAGGTATTCAGTCTTGCCAGGGTTGCTTTGGAGCAGAGCACTGTAAGAATATTCTGGAGTTTGAGGTCTCTGAAGAAAACATATCTTTTCCTTCCCATGCCAGAGACACAGATCAATCATTGTGCATTAAAGTAGGAGCCTGAACCCAAGCTGTTACTGAATGAGCTAGGACACACCTCCCTGTCCTTCTGATGCCACTTGCTCCTCCGGTCTCCATGGTCTTCTAGCTCCACATATTGCTACTCTAAGGCCAGCCCTTCTACCAATCACACACTTTGTTCAATGCCTCAGTTGGAAGCAGGGATTAGGGAAAGGCTGTTTCTGGAAGCCCATTCCTTCCCTTCTCTATTCTTTCATTTTCTTCTCAATCACTGCAGCATCAGGAGAAATATCTAGTGAAGAGAAGTTGCCTTCCCTTCTAGACCATAGTCATAGTAGTCAGACCCTTATCCAAACTATTATTTAATATAAAATTATCTCTTGCCCACTTTGGCATTTCATGGCATGAGTTTTGGGGAAAACTATAGGTCAATTTTCACTAATAGGAAAATATGTCTATGAAGGGGATACAGTCTGAATACTATTGGGATATTTTTTCCATTGCTCCTTTTTTCCCTTGCCTTATTCTATCTTGCACTATGCTTATACTTCAAACAACTTTCCCCTCCAGGTGTGTAATAATGGATAGGGCATTAGATATGAGTCAGGAGGACTGCACAAGTCATTTAATCTTTCTGTGCCTCAGTTTCCTCATCTATAAAATGAGGGAATTGGACCCTATGGTTTCTAAGGCTTCTTCTAGCTCTAAATCTATGGTTCTATGACTTAAGTTCCCCTCAGCAAAAACCAATCTGTAACCTCACTAAACCAAGAAAGCCACCTTGAACCCCTCTTTAACCTAAACAACACAAATCTCTACTTTATATTACCCTGAAGGAACTCAAGGAATGTTAAACATCTTTAAACTCTTCCCCTATTCTAGTTATTAAATCCAAACCTAGATGAGGCTTACTTTTAGCTGGGACTTTCTTCTTATATTAATTATTGTCACAACTTATGATATGTTTAATTTCTAAATCTCCTTTTGTACTTTTCTCCCTTTTTCTTTTCCTGATATAATTCTTCCATTTAGGCAAGAAACAGTTTACTTTCCAACAGCTCTTTATTCCAGGACAAGTTCCGTAGCTTATTATATTATATAATAATATATATTTATATTATTATATATTATTATATATAATATATATATTATTTATAATATTATATTATATATATTATATAATGAGGCATCCAAGTTAGTTCAATTTGACAAATGAAGAAACAGGGAATGAACTGCTTTCTTGGTGAAGCAAAGAAGACACATAGTATAAGTCTAATGATTCATGATTTGACTTTGCTGGTATCCCTCAGTATGTATGTGGTGCCTCAGAACAGACTGAAAAGCGACACTCAGTGAAGACGGGAATCAGGTCTATGTCATGATTGTAGCATTTTGAAATTATCAGTAAGATAATTTCTTACCCCAGAGAACCAATCTAGCATGGAGATTACTTGCCAAAAGATTTTTTCATTCTTGGCACAAGTGGCCTCTGAGATATTTCAAACATAAAGGTTTCTCTTTCATGAAGTTAGCTGTAGAGAATCCTTACCTCATACTTTCCTTTCTTCTCCAAAGGTTCTTCTCTTTCAGACGCCATGCCTTCGTCCTCTCTGAGCTCTTCTAAGATGAGGACCGTCTCCCAGTTACTGTAGTGACAGGCTGGGAAAATATCTGAATGCATGCTGTCACCAAAATAAGCAACCTGTGGGTCAGACAGCAAGTTAAAAATGGGCCATATGTTTGATAAAGCCACGTTCTTCTTTCCATATTCCCATATCCCATCCTTCCTCCGGGATGGGGAAAGAGGGGGGAGGAGGGTGGGAGGGAGGGAAAGAGAGAGAGAGAGAGAGAGAGAGAGAGAGAGAGAGAGAGAGAGAGA